TGCTGTTTTGGACTCGGCCAAAATCGCTTAGGCGGTTACAGCGCCAATTAAGAAGAAGAAGAAGCATCGCAACTGCCTCCTTTACGTTTATTTTCCAAGAGTTCTTCAACGACTCGGCGCCAGGGAGTCTTTCGCAATCGCATGCTGCGAATGGTTCATTATACTAAAGCCAGTCTTCCGACATAAGCTACTATTCCATACGAACACAGATATGTATACTTCCTAATAGGCATATATATCAGATATATCAATAAACACGTACGAAAGAAAAGGAACACATCCGTTTATAAATAAACATGTACACAACACATATACAAAAACGGCACTCAAGTACACAACACATTGACAAAAACGGTACTTGACTGTCTCGCTTTGGTTTCGGAATGCTTACACATTGAGAAGTTAGCTTACTGCCAATATAGAAATATTACATATATGCTAATAGGCTTGTAAAATGCTTAATACCCAAATCCCTCGCATGGGTTATTATCGGTAAAAAATTGGGTACGCTCAAATCTGGCATCGCTGCAGCAAGTACTTTGTCACGCCAGTGAAACAGTGTTGATATTTTAAATACAATTGTACTTTTTTCCGTATAATTAATTTTAAAAAGTACAAAAGTACAATTTGCCGATTTTAAGTACAATTTCAACATCAAAAATACTTGTTGTACCAAACGCTCAAATCTCTTCTAGCACTTTGATTCTTAATCCGTTTATGTTTAAGTAAATGGATATACCTATATTTCATATTTGCTTCATATAGAAACAATGTCTTCGTTAATTAAAACAAGAGATTTTCTTTGATATAATAACTTTACGGCACTCACATATTGATAAGATTTTACTATTTATTTTATTATTTTTTGTAAATTTTATTTATCTTTTTATAAAAATGTAATTTGTTCTTTAACAAATCTACATAAATCCAAGATTAATACTTTGTGCAACATTAAAAAAATATACAAGCTTTCGTAAAAATTTCGAGGTTTTAAATTTTAGTATAGTAAATTGCAAGTTTAAAGTAGCAGGGACTTACCGCTGATTTTTGGCAATTTTTTTTTTTTTTTGTTGACGATATGAGTAATTTTTTCCATACGAAGTGTGTTCGACGATTTTTTTATATGGAGAAAATGAGCAACTGCTTCATCAAAAAAAATCTTAAAAGACTTTGTTATATTAAAACTGAATGGGCTACAAAACTGCATACTCAAAATATTTCTAGGAAATCTAATTAAAAAGCGAAATTTTTACGAAAGCGTGCTGATTTTTTTAAGGTTGCTAAAATATTTAACCTTGGATTTTTTAGGTATAACCTGTATTTTTATAAAAAAATACGTAATATTAATGGTGAGAAATTAAATCACCTCTACATTCCATACTTTATTACACCAAAATGCAACCTTGCTTTGTACACCACTGCAACCCTTGTATACGTATTTTATCATAAATTCATTAGCCTTTGTTACTGTAACTTCGCACAAGTTCTAGAATAAAGACAGCCATTGGAAAATCAGAAATAACCACGTTATTATTCAACATTTTTGGTCCTTTGCTCCGAATTTGGAACCACCGACTTGCAAAGTGTAAAGTGAACGCATTTTGGAGTTTTACATTTAAAACGTTTATTCACGGGGTCCATTTGTTAGTTTTTTCATTTACACTCGTGCGAGTAGCATTGCTAGACATACATACATACATACGTTAGCAATGTCTATGACAGCGTTGAAAAGTCAACGAGACAGATACAGGGCCTCAATAACGAGCGCATTTAATTTTACAAATGAAATATGTAAATGACGCAACGCCTTCGGCAGAGTTGGAAGTGAGAATTTCCAATTTGAATGAAGCATGGAAACAATTGAATTTGATTGAAAATCAAATAAGCGGATTCGAAGAGAGTACTCAAGATGAAAATGCTGTGTCATCGTTCACACAGTATGAAGAGAAGTACATAAAAGCTCTCGCCCGTATAACAACACATCTGCGTGAGAAGCAAGAAACAGCGAGTAGGCAGCAAACGCCGCAAACAGTGAGCGAGTTACAATTAGGGTTGCAAAATCTAGTGTTGCAACATAATGACGTAGTGTTACCGAAAATGACAGTGCCGACATTTTCGGGCGAATACAGTGAGTGGAAGACATTCAGCGATATATTCAAAGGCGCGGTAGACTCTAAAGCCATTTGTCAAATACGCAGAAATTTTACTATTTATCATCATTTTTGGGCGGTGAAGCTGCAGATTTAATAAAGAACATACCAGTTACGAATGAAACTTATACTGAGGCATGGAATAAACTTCAGCAACGGTACGACAGGCCACATTTGGTAGCAAGATCGTTCATCAAAGGTTTTATGAAACTGCCAACCACAACAACACCGAATCCTAAAATTTTACGAAAAATTATTGACGGTGCAGATGAATGCCATAAACATCAAGGAACGTGACCCATGGTTGATATTTATTCTGCTTAACAAATTGGATGCAGAAACGCGTCACAATTGGTTTGAGCATGTTGGATCTCGAACCAGAATTTTTGAAGTTTCTTGACGCTCGTTTTATTCATCTGGAATCAAATGAGTTACACACGACAGGCGTAACAGTGCGTAATACA